TCAAGACAGAGACTAATTTGTTAATTGACTAATCAATCACAATTGAACGATAATGATTTAACGATTAAGCAATCGTGCACATGTAAGGTTATGTTTGGACAAGTTTTCTTTTTTTTTTTTTTTTTTTTTTTTTTTTTTTTTTTTTTTTAATTAAAAACTACTTTTCCTTTTTACCTATACATTATAGGGAAAAGTCAATCAATCATGATCTTAGTTCATAATTTAGTCGGTTTTCTCGCTAACACGAAAAGTGAAAGGTTTTAGATTTCAGTCTTTTCTACTATAGGAGTTTTTATTGAATCGCATAAGTCAATAATTTTTTAAATCTCTAATTTTTTAATATTTATAATCAAGTGATATAAGGAGAACACGATCCAACTAATGTATTTGAAAAAAAAAAAAAAAACCTTAGTGAATATCCAAAATATAAGGAAAATATTTTTTTTTTCTTTTCAATTTTTTCCCTCTCTTTTATTATGCCTTTTATATTACTTTCTATCTTTTTCTCTAATCCGAACATAGTGTAAATATGCATAGACATAACTACTCTAAAAAATTAATTAAAATTAAAAAGTAGAATAATCATGGTTGCTTTACTCCATTTTATAAGTTCAACACAATTATTTTAATGTAATGGTCGGCGTACTGTCTAAAAACCAGAGAAGCTTGTGAAACTAGCAGCTAAACCGCGATGGAGTAAATTGATAACATTACATGCAACAGGGAATTCGTAGCTCACAGACTAAGCAATTGTCGGTTTAGTTTGAAATTTAAAGGTCGATCGTGTTAGTCAACAGTTAACGTGTTGAGAATATGTATTGGATCGCACCTCTCAGGGGTGTTCAAGTGTCGGTTCGGGTTCTAAGCCGAAACTGAGGAACAGAGAAAAATTGATAACCGACACGATTTTGTTAGCTTGGGTAATGTCGGCTATTTTGGAGGGAAGAAAAATCTGTCAACTATCAAATCAAACCGAAACTATTCAGTTAATTCTGCAGAAAACTGAAATATTAAGCTGACCCAACTGAACTGGCCGGTTTGGGTCAGTTTTTAGTTTTCCCCGACTAGTCATTTTCAGTCCCACGTAGAAATGATCACGGTCCCAGAACTTTCGATTTTAATTTCAAAACTATCAATTCCAATTATCAAAAAGTTAAAATTGAAACCAAACCTTTTTATTTGATTTTAAAGACGGTTTTGGAACAGCTAGTTTCTATGTTGTTACGGTTTTTTAACCAAAATTATCTATTTCATTTCAAGCTTTTTTAAAATTATTTTTTAGATTTATATATTGAGTAAATAATAGTAATAATAATAATAAATATCATTATTGAAAAAAATAAACCAATTTAATATAAATTCTTAAAGTTATTTTAAAAGATAATAATATATAAAAAATAAATTGAAAATTTCTTTAGAAACTTGTTCTTTTATGATTTCAAATTGTGTAATTGTGAATTTTAAATCAAAATCATCAGTTCTGATTTCAAACGCTGAAGAATCGAAACCAAATTTTACATACATGGTTTCAATCACGATGTAAAATAAAAAATCGTTAATTATAATTTAGTGTCGATTTTAACCTTTCAATTTTTATTCATTTCTGATTTAAAATTAAACCGTGGTCATATCCAGTGGTAGGTAGCTGTCCAAGAAGGAGTAATGAGGATCAAGTTTTTTTTTTTTTTTTTTTTTTAGAGATTTCAAAAGTTTTTTTTTTTTTTTTTTTTTAATAAGGATAAGTTAACCAATTGTCAACATGCAAAGATAAAGCAATTTATTTTTTTTTTTTTTTTTTTTTTTAATAAGGATAAGTTAACCAATTGTCAAATGCAAAAGAACATATTTATTTCACCCAAAAAATCAAATAGTTTGACTATTCAAAAAAGGATTTACAGTTGAATTTGAAATAATTTATTAATTATTTTTGTAAGTTGAATAAATGAAATCTATAATAGCCCACTCTATCACATTCTCTTGGATTCTCCTTTCCCAAATATAATATATATATATATATATATGGTTCACATTTAATTTAAAATTTTTAAATGAAATTCAATCTTCTAAATTAAATTTTGATTATTTAAAAATTGTTTCTAATGAGATTTGGACGCTTGTATTAAAATTGAAATAGCAGCTTCGGTTGAAAAATAAGAAGGTATTCATTTGTGTTTTAACAAATAACAGGCAATATGCTTTCACTTGAAAAAAAAAAAATTATCGGTTGGACCAGCATTTATGGATTGGCTTCTAATGTCAAGCACGTCCAACCCATAAGGTCTTGGCTTTGGGCCTATTGATGAAGTTAGCATTTGAGATTTGGGTCTAAATTTTACTAATTTAGTGTCTTTTAGTTTCCTTATATGGTATCGGACTGTTATCAACAGGCTTATGACCAAAGAATAACAGGAGAAAACTATTCTGAAAGCGTATGAAGAAATGCAGAACATAAAGAGGAAAACCACTGGATTCTTTGAAAAAGACACAGCAGAGAAAAGCGATTCTTGACAAGGATTCTGAATCTATGTAGCTTGTGGAGAAAAAAAAAAAAAAAAAAAAACGGCCATCCTCCTTGACAAGGATTCTGAATCTTATGTAGCTTGTGGAAGAAAAAAAAAAAAAAAAAAAAATTGCTACTACTATTTGTATCATAACCAGTCATCGTTGCTTTTACATGGAATTTCAATTCTCTCTCCTGCCTCTGTTTCTTCAAAGTGGAGGGGGAGACAACAGTGGATCATTCTTTAAGTAGAAACTATAAGTTGATAAGAGCTCTAGCAACCAGAAAGCTTGGTGGATTGGGACAAGACATTTCCCATATTTAAGAAGGCATTTATGCGTCCAATGGAAGGGCACACAATATTCAAGTTAATAATCGTTTTTCAATTTTGGGACAAATATTGTGGATTTGTTCTAATGTATCAAGCACGTTCAAAAAAAAAAAAAAAAAAAAAAATTGCACTACTATGTATCATAACCAGTCATCGTTGCTTTTAAATGGAATTTCAATTTCCTTGTTCTGTTCTTCAAAGGGAGGGAGACAACAGTGGATCATTCTTTAAGTAGAAACAAAGTTGAAAGAGCTCTAGCAACCAAGAAAGCTTTATTGGACAAGACATTTCCCATATTAAGAAGCATTATGCGTCCATGGAAGGGCACAAATATTAGATAATGTTTCAATTTTGGGACAAATATTTGTGGATTTGCTTCTAATGTCAAGCACGTCCAAATGTCCAATCCATAAACTCTTGGGTCTGGGCTTATGGATGAAGTTTACACGTGCATCAGATGCTCTACAATAAACTTACGTAGCCTTGCTATAGACTCACACACAAACTAAAGCTAAACAAAGTGAGAATGGTTACAGAGGGGGCAACCTTTGTAAGGGGAATTAATTAAGGAGATGCCAAATTATCAAAACAATAACAGCAGAAAATGACTCTTAAAGATTATGAAATAAATATGAAGAATATGAAGAAGAAAAGCATTGGATTCTTTGAAAAAGACTGAGCAGAGAAAAGTACATTCTTGATAAGGATTTTGAATCTATGCAGCCTGTGGAGAGAAAAAAAAAAAAAATACTAAAGATGGCCTTGTCGTTGAGGTGGTGGGCAAAAGTTTCTGTTAAAAATGTGGGATTATATAATTTCTTGGGTCTTGGCATCTTTCTTCTCCAAAACCCTGAGGACACATGTAAAAAAGAAAGATAGCCTTAACACGGAGAACAAAATCTGTAAATTAATATGATCAAAAGAGTAAAAAATTATCTACAAATGAAATTAAAAATTTTTGTCGAAACGACGGTATTTCTTTCCGTTAAAAGCATTATCATGGGATTTGAAAACATAACATAAGACTTGCATGAGATTATCCATAGACAAAGACAATCTAAAAAAATTTCAAAAAATGTTTTGTTTTATATTATTTTCTGTGAATAGTTGGAAATACCATGGCTTAAATTAAAAACACTCAAATTACTTTTTATTGATTTGGCTCATGTACAGGTTTAATTGGTGTCCTGCTATTTGAAACCTATCAAAGGCAAAATTTTGCACCTTCTCTAATTGGTTTCAAGTTCTAATTAATCAATTATCATAACTCAATTGCAGTTTGTTTCTTATCTATATTTGGGTCGTAATTACTTAAATTTATAGCTAGAGTTTTGCATTTTTAGATATTACAATTTATCTAAAATTTTCATTTTTAAAATAATTATCATCCTAACTTTACACCAAAATGAATAAAAAGACTCAATTTTTGATAAAAAGAAACAAATAACAATTTTTAATATTATTTTTAACAAATAACATAAAAGAATAAATATTTGATTATATCAAATATAATTAAAAAATAATAAAAATTTTTAAAAAATCAAATATTCAATATAATCAAATATTTTAAAAATCTAGAATTTTTTTTGAACCATATAATTTGATTCTTTTATGTTTTAGCAACCAAACGAAAAATAAAACCAAATTTGTTTGAATTTTGACAACAAAAAGAAAAGAAAGAGAAAAAACAATTTCTTATCGTTAATCATTAACAACAATTACATATTTAGAGCTGTTAGATAACTTATTTACTTTCTTAAGAAAATGTACTTGTTAATTATTAATTATATATAATAAATTATGTCTAATCAACTCTTTACTCTTATCTAAATTCCTAATCTAATCATAATTCAATTGCAATTATAGGCCCCACCCTTTCACCCTTCCCTTCTTTGAAGAGCCAAATCACACTTCCCCGAATTCCAAAAAAGTCCATACCCCACCATATCTCTCTCGTGTCCTAAATAAATTATTGAGGACACGTGCCAAACTCGTGGCAACCAAAAAGACCCCACGAACCACGGGCAAATCATGTACGTCCACGTCAACTCTTCGTAGGATGAATATACTCGCCAGGTGCCGTAGGATATGCTGTGCCATGTACACCCCTCAGCAGGATATAATCGGTATATCCTCTTGCACGAGTTTTTTTCAGCTTTAAACAAATTATTTGAACCTATAGAAGATCAAAAAGCAACTGTTCTGTAAAACATTTCCAACGAATATTCCAAAGCAAATTCTCAAAGAAACTAATTTTTTTTATTGCTTTCTATAAATACTAAACCATTTCTTTATACTTCTTCCAGACCCTGCTTATCCTTTAATTAAGCAGCTACCGGCTTTAAAACACACGCAGAGAAAAATTTTGGATCTTACCTCAAACTGAAAATGTCTGGTTTTGTTCGAGCCAAGCGAGTCACCGATCCACTCGACGACGAGGCAAAAGCTCGAATAGTTGGTGTCCGTTTCAGTTACGTCAGCAGCGGAAGTGAACATTCCGTTGACGATTCACCTTGCCTTTCTGAACTCGTTCACGGCTTCCTGGAGGACGATTTCGAGACTCAGCCATTGAGTTACGATTCCGATTCGGATAATATCGACTCAGTTTCCGATTGTACGGACATGGCGGAAGATACTTTGAGATCAGCTACAAGTAATAATATCAGTAAGGATTCGTATAGAAATTTGCTATTTGCTCATGTTTTGAAAGCGATGGAGGTGTTTTCGTGTTTGCAAAATCAAAAAGCTGTTTTGAGGCGGAAAGTGATGTCGTTTTTAAGAGAACTGGGACACAATGCAGCGATTTGCAAGACAAAATGGGAATCCTCAGGTGGATTATCCGCTGGAAACTACGAGTTCATCGATGTCGTGCAATCGCAACACCGGTATTTCTTGGATCTTGACTTCGCTTCACAGTTTGAGATCGCGAGACCTACGAGTCATTATTCGAAGCAGTTGCAATCTCTTCCTAGGGTTTTTGTAGGTAAAAATGAAGATTTGAAGAGGATCATCAAGGCCATGTCTGACGCGGCGAAGAGATCGTTGAAGTGTAGAGAGCTTTCACTTCCTCCGTGGAGAAAAAACCGTTACATGCAAAACAAATGGCTCGGTCCTTACCGCCGGACCTCCAATCCAATACCGGTGAGCTCATCAACGCAAGTTATCCAGCCTGTTAGTGGAGTGACATGTCGGTTCGTTGGATTCGACGACGCCGTCAACGGCCGTTTGTTTGTTCGAACGAGATAATTATATAAATTTCGAGATTTAATTAAAAAATTTATTTACTCCATAAACAACTAAAATTTCCAGTTGTGGTACGATCTTTTCTTTGCATTCATTTTCCATTTTTTCAAATTACAGGTTTGGTATTAAAAAAAAAAAAAAAAAAAAAGCATTCATTTCCAAATTTTTTTCAAATTACAGTGTTGGTATTAAAAAAAAAAAAAAAAAAAAGATCTTGTTGTAACGCGGCCAAATGCACGTCGTCGTGTGTGAAGCTGAAAACAGAGTTGTTTAATCACGTGCAAGCAGGAAAACGTTTAAACGTAGCCTGAAGCTTTAACGTGACTAATACAGGAACCAAAAAAAAAAAAAAAAAAAAGATCTTGTTGTAACGCGGCAAATGCACGTCGTGTGTGTGAAGCTGAAAACAGAAGTTGTTAATCACGTGCAAGCAGAAACGTTATAACGTAGCCTGAAGCTTTAACGTGGACTAATACAGACCCTTTATCATAAAAAGAATATGCTGTGATTAAATCGTACGAATACGAAATGGACACGTGAACTAAATTATTATTATACTTGACGTGGCGCTGGTGACGTGATCTGGCTTTCATATCGGATATGATGCGACGCGTCGATAATGGTCTTATGTAAAAATAAATGACTGGCGTGATGGAGTATAGAATTGGCGTGTAGTAGTTGAAGCACTGGATTTTTAAGTCGTATTGGAGGAGAAGAGAGAAATACGTGTTTGGATAATGTTTTTTAATATATTTAAGGAGACAAGATAGAGAAAAGAGGCAGAGGCAAAGAGGAGTCGTACACTTATTGACCTTTCGTGAAGTGGCCCAATGATAAATGAGTAGCCGAGTATGGTGTTTCACTGTTTTGGATAATTGAGGGTAGGGTGGGGTACCCTTTAATAGGACACCTGTCTCTTCCTTAATAGCTTCTTGATTGGACTTGCAGGGTAGGGTAGGGTCATAGAATTGGTTACTTGTAAACCGTAAGACCACCATTTTATCAGCGGTGCCACCACCAAGTAGGGAAGTTCATGTTCATGGCTGGGCTTGAAGCTTTATTCCAACTAAACTTATAAATTATGATAAACTCAAATAAAAAAAAGATTATGAAATGCATGTAATCTAACTAAATTTATGAATACGGTTCTATTTAAATTGACTGAATTTAATATTTGAAAATTAAAAGGATAAACAATATTAAATCCCAAACCTGAAAACTAAGTTTCAAATAAACTATATTTGAATATCAAATTAAAAAAATATAAAAATTTAAAGATTAAATTTAAAAACAAATGCTCGAAGGATAATATGCCTAATAGTTCAAAATATGAACTGCATACATTTTGTCGACAAGCTTGATGCGTGTCCCCCGCGATATTCATTACCATTTGGGACTTTAGTTTAGTGGCCCATACCATATAAAAGTATGGCTATTTTGCCCTTATCTCTTGCTCTTAGAGATCAAAAATGAACCCAAAAACATATAAATCAACCTCGTGGCATTATTGTACTATTATTTTCATTTTTTTTAAAATTTTATCAATTCGGATGAGTAGCTTTCATTAATCTAATCTTGTTGATAAGGGGATAGATATAAGTCTAACTGCTTAACTTTGTTTAACCATATGGAGTAAGATTCTTTTTTTTATTGGTGGAAAATAAAGGAATAATGGAAATTAAGAAGGGGAAACTAATAACCTTTCTTTCTTTTCTTTGATTAGCAACAAAGATGTTTAAAAATAAGTGAATTATATTTGATGTGATCGGCTTTTTTTCTAATATAAATAATGAAAAATTTTAAATTCGAGATAAAAAAAAGAGTTTTTCTAATTTCGTAAATAAATAAAAAAATTAATCATATTTTCGGCCAATTAAAAATCTTTTAATGAATAAAAAAAATTAAAACATAGTATTAAAGTCTTACTGAGAAGACTCGATAAAATCATGTCATTTCTTTTATGGTTTCTTTCCTTCCTATTTTTCTATTAAATATATTCTTCATTTCAATTGATTTTAAAATAGTTGTTTATTTGAAACAAATATTAAAATAAATTTATTATTCTACATAATTAAAAGTAATATATACACGCGCACACCAGGGTACTAACAAAAGAGATTCTACGAGAGATTGACACTCCTACCAAATCTTTATATTGGCAATTTATGGGCTAGTCTGTCTTTTAATAAATCTTATTTAACAAAAGAAAATATTTAAAAATTTATCTTGATAATATTTTTTATAGCTCATTATCTTGAAATTACGAACCCAAAATATCTTTTAACTTAGCTAATAAAACAAGGTAGTTGCTAATGGATTTGATATGACAATTAGAATATCATCCAATTGTAAGTTGTTAAATCTTTTTCAGCACATGTGATCTTGTTGACCTGCTCATTAATATCGAAATTATAAATTCTCAGGTTTAATCATTTCGATTTTAAGTATTTTCAGCAATATAGCAAATCAATGGAAAAGCTATTCCTATTATATAAGCAATATTATTATTATTATATTATATTATGTTCAACCTCTCAATGAATTGAAAGAATAAAAGAAACTCTTTGAATTTCATCATTTCCAATAATTCTAATTTTGTCGACCTAAATAATTAAATTTATATTTTAATATTTTTAAATAATCTTTTTTTTTTTGAATATTATGTTCAAAAAATAATATAAGGAATATTGTAATAAAAGTCATATTTTCAAGCTGTCAGTTCGACCTTAAATATTAAAATAATACTCCCTCCGTCTCATATATAAGTTAACTTTCCTTTTTTACCGATCCAAAATGTAGTTTTATTTCTTTTTTTTTTAAAGGTCATTTATTCTATAATTCCTTAATATACCCTTATTTAATATACATCCATATTACCAATTAATATTCATCATTTAATGTTATAAAGGGGTATTTTGGAAAAAAATTAAATAAAAAATATAATTCAATTATATTAATTAATTTTTTAATCCATGTGAAAGTCAACTAGACCTATATATAAGGGACAAAGAGAGTATCATTTTTATTATTCATTTACTATTTAACCCTTTTATTATCGTTATGGTCGTTGTCATGGCTACTGTTGTCGTAGCCGATTACCGGTTGTCGTCGTCGTTATCGTCATTGTCACTATCGTCATCGTTTTTATTGAACCACATAAACTATATAAGGATAATTTGAAGATTACTGATTTGTTTTTTACCTATAAATTCTCTTAATTTTTATATTTTGTTGATATTTTATTTAATATGGAGACCTAATTTCTAGACATCTGTTAAGTTGCCCCTATAATATAATCTCAATATAAATTCAAGCTATCCAATTGTAGACCAAATATTTTAGACTTGTGTTTCCAGTTTCCATGCTAAATGGCTGTGTGCCTTTAAACAGTCCGGTCCCGTAACATATAAGGCTTTATTGGTTTGTTACAAAGCCCAAATGGGTAACACGAATATATGGGCCACTATCCAAAGAAAACGATATGGGCTCCAGAAGTATGGAAGACCGAAACAAATAGGACCTCTTTTGATGCCAGCCCAATTATGACCTATTGGGCTCATTTCATCTCTCCCAATTGATTAAAATTTGAGATAACTATGATTTTTTATTTTTTTTTTGAAATCGCGCTAATTATAAAGTTAACTTCAAGTTTTTTGCAATTAAGTACATTTGATTGGAATTTCTTATTGAAATACTAAATGAACTATTTTACTCATCATTTAAGGGCATGTTTAACCAATTCGTACACATTGAAAGGAAATTTCTTTATAGAGTGGTCTAAGGACATATTGTGCATTTAAAATATTATTTCTATTTGAGAAGAAGTTTGGGTTTTGTATTTGTTTATAAAGAATGCCAGAAATTACATAGAAAGAGAGCGAAATGGTTAAAGGTAAAACAATTTGAATAGTAGGGTTTTAATTAGAAACATGGGGTAGCTATTATTATGAGTATATTCAATTGCCAAAAGCTAAATTAGGATTAAGACATTCCATCTAACCATTCATTCCTTTTTTTTTTTTTTGACTGTCTTAAATGTTCAAAGTTAAAAGCTATGATGTGGTGTCTTCTCTTTTCTCCTTAGGGAAATTTTCAATTTAAAATTGAAATGAACATTTGGTACACCATTATCATATTGTAATATATATACCATTAGAGTGATGCCAATTAATTAATATTAAATTAGCATGCATGCTTACAATAATCTCGAAAATTAAATAAGCATAATTATTTTTTTTATATCCTCTAGGTCGGTCCAACAACCATCATGCTATAATAAATATATCAAATAATACCTAAATCCCCAGAAAGAAAATCTAAATATATCTTGCTTAATTATCTAATAATTGAATTAATGTCCTTTTTGCATCAATATTTTATCATTCAATTAAGCTCTTTAAGATTCTTTAAAGCACTCATTGAGTAGGGTTCATCCTATTATTTTTAAATGAGAATTAATTAATTATTGTGATCAGACTGAAAATACGAATTTCAAGTTTATTTTTATTTTCTGACATAATATTCAAATTACATTTTGATATTTTAAAAACATAAAATTCATCTAATAATACAGCTTATTTCTGTTGACCCAACTATTAATATTTTAATGTTTTAAATAAATAATAAATAATAAAGTTAGTTTAATGTTTTAACCGATAATTTTATATTTTTCGATTTATTAATTAATTTAGGTTAATTTTGGCAGAAAAAAAAAAAAAAAGAGCCAAAGAGATTTATTGAAGAAGGGCTTTGGGCTGGCAATTCTGAAAACGACGATCTTAGGATGTTTGGCACAATCGACAGTTGTGGATGCTCCACTCCAGCCTTGCGGAAGAAGACGCATGACACGTGGGACACTACTGGGCCCCACAGTAAAACACGCAAGGACAGCAGTCCTAGTTGGCGTATATATGGGTGAGTGGTAAATGGGTCCCACAACAAATTCAAAGAAAGGATAGCGACTGATGATCCGCATTAATTATCATACACCGCCGAAAATGAAAATCCTTTTTTTTTTTAAAAAGAAAAAAGAAGGGAAGGTTAAGACTTAAGAATGGCGACAAACGCTCATCTT